CCTGCTGAAGATGTACAGTCAGTGCTAGGGACAGACCATATATAGAGAGTGATACAAATACTATCACTGCTTCAAGATGGTGGATGCCTTTATGCAAAGGGGACATGGGAAAAGGCATCTCATTTTCAAACTGTAGACAACCAACCGTCTCAGTGCTGGTCCATCTGTAGAAAAACATCACCCAAAGAAACAGCAACAGCATGGTGTAGCCCTCAGTGAATGTATGTCCAAATATTTTCATAGTTCAGTCCAAACCTCAACACAAATATCACAGTTTCCAAGTACTTTCCCCTTCCTTCAAGGAAGAAGTCATCTAGTTCTGCCTCTAATTGACAGACCAAATTCAGTTGCTTTTAAAATTTTGAGTGTCTATTATGGAGTGTAGCAAATATTTCTAAGTTCTTGTGTCACATGAATTCTAAATTAATCTAGTCAGAATAAAATCCACAAGGTAATGCATTTCCATTTCCATGGCATTTCCTTTGTCATTGATATCACAGTTCTTAATGTTCATTTTTAATACATCTTATTATGCGAGAACTATGCAAATGTTCTATAAAGCAGATAAGAAAGGACTGAAAGGAATCAGGGTCACTTGAAGTTCAATATTAATAGAGTTGACATTTGCCAGCATACTTTTACTGTTAGAGAGTAGCAAAATAGTGAGTTTAGTATTCTATTATAAGCCTCCTCGTATCTGAGCAGCTTAAATGACAGTTCACTATTTCCATCCTTCTGCTTGGGTCAGATTTTCCAATAACTAGATGCGAGTTAATACCTAATTGAAAAGTACACAAGAGGTCATATTTCAATTGCACCTACATAAGACTTAAACTATATTACTTTAAGCTTATAGTAGTGTAGATATAACTAGTTTCCAATCTGTCGGGTTCCTGCCTGGAGAGTTGTCATTTTCTTTTTATATCTGGGCTTATGGATATAAAAAGAAAAAAGGACATACATATGCAAATGTAAAAAAAACCAAACAAACAAAAAACAAGCATGTTAATCAAAGATAGCATGATAGACAAGTCTTACTTCCAGGCTTTGCAAATGTGCTTGCATTTGTCTTTCCATGTGTCCTTTTAAAACTACTATGAAATGGTAAAAAACATAGCTTCTTTTTCCTCAAGCTTGAAAAACAAGAAAAAAAATCAACCTATTTCTCTTACATGTTCATCTGAAATGCTGTCTCTGTTCCCTTAAGTTTAATACAAATATTTTAGGTTTTGGAGGACCACTGGAGCTTATCCTCCCATGTGCTGCTTCACACAGGTATGCCTCTCCCAGCAGCTCAGAGTAGCTCAGGTAACATAGCAAGAGTGCTTTCTCAATCATGTGTGCCAATGTAAGCTTCAATAGACCTTTACCATGGGACCACTTCAACCAAAGCTGTGATAACTTTGAATGCAATATTATAAGAACCTTCCAAGCCTGACAAATGCAGAACAAAAAATACGTAAATCCTCACCTACAGTTGCAGAGAAGTTAGAGTAGGCAGAGTCATTGGTATATACAAAAGTAGAGTTATGGGAAGGAAGCACAGTGAAGTTGTGGATTCTTAGAGCTGGGTGGAACAACAAAAGAAAATAAGCAAATAAGCAAAACAATGAATAAACACAATCAGCAATGAATTGACCAGTTCATATCTCTCAACTTAGCACAAATCACAGGTGTTGGTCTGTGGCCTTTATCATACAACCACTTCTCCCCAGGACTTGTATGCATAGCAATGTTACACTATCATTAACCACTTTTTTTTTCATTACAACAACTGAGAAAAAAAATAAAAATGCAACTGCAGATGAGGGGCTCTGAAATATAATAATGGTGGTAAGGAACTCTGGTGCAAAAGCTATGGACATTCAAGTCCTGTGTCCAGTTCTGGGCTCCCTGGGAAAAGAGATACACACACTGGAGCAAGTCCAGTACAAGGCTGAGAATGCTGGGACTGCTCAGTCTGGAAAAGAGAGGTCTCAGGGACCTTATCAACATATATATCTCCAGCGGGAGGTATAAAGATAGTGCCAGACTCTCCTTTATCATTTCCAGTGAGTAGATAAGAGGCGATGGACACAAATTAAATCCCAATAAATTCTATCTTAACCTAAGGGGAAAACCAGGGGTTTTTAATATATCAGAAAATAACAATTTCCTCTCTATTCTTTTTCCCCTAATTTTAGTAATTTAATAGTATCTGGTAATTAGTTACCCTGGGCAGACAAATGGAGCTGGATGAAACACTTATTAAAAAACCAAAAACCAAACCAAAACATAACACCAAACACAAAAACCTCAAGAGAAAAACAATGCATGGAAAAGAAGGGGTCAGATGAGAAACCTGAACATGGCCACATCTTTATTTCCTATATTTTAGGTTGATTGTTTCCTTTCAAGTGTTTCTACTGTTGAGATAAAAAAAATAAATAATTTGTCAACACACTCTCACAACACAGATGCATTGAGAGATATAAATCTGGCTTCACACACAATGACTTTAACAAATAAAATGGATTAACATGACAGACAGATTATGATGATTCAAGAATTTAAGAGGAGAAATGTGGAATGAAAACAATTGCATGATATGATGAGTAGAAAAACAAGACAGACTCCAGCAATAAACAGAAAAGTTGTGTAATCAAAGTGGTAACAAAAACAAGCAAATTGTCACCTGCATTCGATTACAAGAATAAAAAAATTCTTGCATATCAAAGTAAAATATCAGATATATAAAACCTCTGGTGGAGGCAGTTGAAGTATCATCTGTGTATTACAAGACACAATATAAGCAACTGAGAATTTGAACTAGCCACTACAGCATTAAGGAAATAATTCAATGTCAGAATTGCAGAGAAAAAAACTTTGGGTTACTGGTATCCTCTACAAATACTAGTGAGACAAAGTCCACCTTTTTTTTTTTTCAGCAAAGGCATGCACCTGGCTGAGTTGTGAAGTTGTATTTAACACAATGTCATAATTGGAGTCAAAGAAGATTGCTCATGTGAGCCAGTCCCATTCCTGCAAAGGTTTGTAGGATCAGGAAATTTATGTTTTGCTTTATCTCTCCCAAGATACTACTGAATAGGTTTCTGAATTTTGCTGAAATAATGTAATTTAACATAATTTTTAAACCAATCTAACATCAATTACCATTTTTCCAAGACCTATATTTCATATATTGCTTTCAAACACTTCATTGCAACATAAGTGCTACATATGGAGTGCTTTACTGTTTTTGAAGGTATGAGGTCCAGTGTCAGAAAATTACTTTAACACATTGACAGAGAACTTATATGGTTACTTTTGTAAGCCAAATTATTAATCTACTGAAGTCAATAGGAATGCTGCCATCAGCCTCTAATGGTAGAAGAACATTGCCCAGATTTCTGGTCAGCCAATTTCATTCCTTTAAGAAACTTTGTGGAAAGATGGGTCAGAGTTTAAGCTTAAAATACTTGAACACCTCTGTTGTTCAAGGGTTGAGATATTGATGGAAGTTTTTCCCACTTAGGAACAAAGATTGATATTTTCATTTTTGTGTAATAAATATCAATATATTTGAACTTTTGAAACATTTTTCATGCAAGGTTGTAAAGGTCTCCGACTCCTGATTTAATCATCTGCAGAGTAAAGATATTACAGTCACCTGTAGTAACACAGCAGCTACCCCTTACGCTAGGACAAAATACTGTAGCTTAATTGCCAAGGTCGTCAGCTGTAGTGTGAGGAAAAACTGAGGAATGTACATCAGCCCAACTTGAAATTGGCTAAAATGTCAGGACAGAAAAAAACAACAAGTCCAGTTCATGTGAAAATTACTAAGGGACCTATAAGGTTCAGAAGAAGGCCGAAAATTTCATCTGAAAGGAATGGCCCTGCAGGCCCATAATGTTGCAATGGGATACAGTGATTCAATGGAAGCTCCATTTATTACATCACTGGCACATTCCTGGGAAGCTCCACTACCCTTTTTTCATCCTGATGTGAAATATCAGAAACAGAAAACTGCTGAATCCAACAAGACTGCTTTTTAATATCGTTCCTCTTGGGATTGTGCAGTCCTGACAAGTGACTTTGAAATCGGTGAGACTTTTGCCTTACCAAACCTCTTCTGATTTTGCTTGACTGAAAAGAGAATCTGAACTAGCTCTGCCATACTGTTTTTAAAGAAACACCCAAAAGCAGATAAAAATTAGTAAGAAGTATTCAGATAAGAGCTTAAACTTCTCATTCTATAGATACCAACATGCAATTTTCAAAAGTGTATGAAGAATGTGAGCATTTAACTCCATCCAATAAAAAGCAACAAGAAGCAGGCATCTTCGTTGCTGGTGTAACCAAATATCTCAGTCACAGTGTATTAGTGCATGCTATGCATGTACCACAACACCTAACAGTAATGTTATATCAACGACTCTTTGGATCATAAACCTTTCCTCTTTATAACCTTAACAATGTATAGACAGCCCATAAACCATCTGAGATTACTCTATAAAAATCAGCTCACAAATACAATACCACTTGGACATTGGAGCACAACAAAAACATTACATGAAAAAATGCCTCAACTACTGTGGTACAAAAACTAAGCCCCTTCTTTTCCCCTGCTCCCTTTCTAGTTACAGACTCCCACAAATACTTATGTTATTGTCGTTGTTAACAACTCCTTTGTCTACCTCCATTTGTATCCCGAAACTCATGAATTCCATCCACATCTTCCAGTGGCCAGTAATGGGAAGCTGATGCAAGAACTTTGAACCCTTTCAAGAAACACAGATGAAAAGGTGATTAAAGAAAGGACCAAGTAGAGTGTAACAACTCACTACAGAAGAGAATCATAAAGGAGGTCAATAAGTTAAGTAAAACAAAGTATTTTACGTAAATCAGGTATGGCACATAAGCGAGATCATAAATCAAAGTGGCAGAGTAGATTAAAGACATATATCTGACTGACCACTATGGAAAATCTGTTTATAAAACTCAACTGATTTTTATCTTAGTTGCACTTAAAATATATAACAATCTCTGACTAAATCTCTGGTAATGTATCAGGCAGCTTTCGTTGAAGTAACAGTTAAGGAGTCATTCAAGAGTAAACTCAATTTTTAACCCAGATTTTAAGCACTTGGTGGACAGTACAAAACACCAAGAAGAGAATGCACAGGGGACAGTTCAGCCTCTCCAGCATGGTAACTCTGCTCCTGTCTCCTCCATAGGTAACTGAGCACTCTGCAGTTCAAGGGAGTAGGAAGATTCTAGAGAGTTGCCAGAAATGTTACCCTGTTTCCAAAACCCACTGGAAAAATCAGTGCAACACCTTCAGGTTCTATTAATCCAAGCTTTTTTTCATCTTTGGTCTTCTAGGAGAGACACTACACCAAAACCAGGACAACTCCTTGAGGCTGATGAGAGCATTTTGTTTTCCTAAATATCCTCCTTAGCAACAGGTCGATAAGCTGACGAGCAAAATGTCTGCTGGTTTCCATTGACACTTATCTGCACAACCTAATTGATGAGTTTGAGCAGATTTTAGGAGATACGACTACTCAAACCTGTCCAGAAGCAGGCTGCCCAAAATCAAATTTTGTGTTAAGATAACAATTCTGAGGGCAGAGCATTAATGATGAAGGAAAACATGAACTGTATTTTTTTGTTATCTTGTTAGCTGCAAGAAACCTTTTATTCTTAAAATAATTTAACTGGCTGTGCTGGAATAAATTTATAATCTCCTATATCTAAGATAATTTAGGGATGTTGATATAGATACACAGAAGTTTCACTATGAATGCAAATGAGAACATGTTTTGTTCACTATAATGGCATATAATCTTAATAGTTAGAGTTAATATTTTCTTGAGGGGGCAGCGGGAGGGAAATGACACAGTGGATGACAGCAACAGAGAAAGCAAGGATTTATATTCCACAATACCCATGGTTAATTGTCCTACAATTATTTTTCATTCCCAAACAATCATTTCAAGAACGTGAGATGCAAAGCTGATAGAGATAAGTTTGTTAAAAACCACTTCAGCTGTCATACACCATACAAAAGTTCCCCATATCTAATATGCAAATTAAAGTAAATCATATTTACTGATATTTACAGTCTATTCCACACTTTTCTTCACACTTGACATCAAAACAGCTTGTATATTTGATAATTATTCTATCATTTTCATGTCCTGTATACAGACAGGATTTCTTTATCATGGATTTGAAGGTGCAAAAATTTTATTTGAATCCATAAACTGCTAGCCCATACAGTAGAAATCAGTCTGACATCCTCTATCCTCATGGTATAGTCTCAGAGCTGTGACACAGAGAGGATGCTACATTTTTATTATTATTTTTTTAATAAGTGCAAAGCTGGTAATAATCATTAAACATCACAACAAGCAATTGTAGATCTGAGAGCACAGAATTAAAAGCGTTTCTGCATCTTCCGAGGATACACAAACTACTCTGATTTGCTTCCAAACTGAACAATACCAGTGATATCTAACAAATTATTCAAAACTACCCAAGATCCATTATTGGCTCACCTAACTAGAAATATCTGCAGTTAGCATAGAGGTTTTCCAACAGAGAGGGAGCATGAGCATAAAAAAGGTAAGATTGGGACATCTTTAGAGACACAGATGAGATTTCTAAAGCTATAAATTTCATTTGAATATTCCTTCCCTGCAAAAAAGGCATAACTGCTAACAAAAGCAGGCTACTGCCAACATAGGAGAATTGCACAGATAAGCACACACAAAATCCAATCCAAAAATTCCGGGCAACCCAACTAAGATGAGTGTAGCAAAGCACACTGAGGAATCAGGATATCAGAAGAAGTTTTTTTCATTTACATGAACTAAATCTGGGTATATGCTTAGTTCTATCTTCAAAGAACATATTCTGGCTGTGACAAAATAAATGAGTTATAAATTTCTATGGTATTAAGAGCATCCATACACAGGCTACCTGTGCTAATGCACCTCCATTCTACTTTTAAACTACCAGTTCCATTTTGCAGAGCACAAAACATGCCTGCTGTTTCACAATGTGCTTATATGCAAACAGTTCTTGCTTCCATTAACATCTCCCTTTTGTAGCAGCAAAAAAACTTGCTAAACATAAGAGAACTCTAGAAAAAAAAAAAAAGAGAAACACAGAAAAAAATATCCTGGGAGAGAATAATTTTATGCTAAATAACTGTCACAATGAAGTAGCCAGTAGCAGCAGCATCATGACAAAGACATTGCCACGACTGGCATAAAGCTCATAAGGAGAAGCTATGTTCTGAGGAGCTTACATTTAAAAGCTGAGAAAAACTGGACAAAAAAAGGGAAGGAAGAGAGACACACAGCAAAGTATATTGCCTAGAGCCACGCTGCATGTTGGTGGCTTTCCCAGCTCCCAATTGTGAACTAGATTAAGCCATGCTCTTTACCCCACTGCCAGCCAATCAGCCCTGAGAAGACCTCTGAAAACATATACCTGTTGCCTTGAATTCATCTCATACCTGCAATATTCTTTCAATAGGTAACTATGCCGTGTTTAGAACACAATCACAGGACTTGTTTACAGTCTAGTTCAAATCCAAAAAGCATTGCTCACAGTTATGCTTACACACACACTGTACTACAAAATAAATGATGTTTAACTTGCCCCTTATTGCAGGAGGGTTTTTTCCCCCTGTGGTTCCACCAGCCAATGATCCTCATCTACAGGAAATGAGACTATTTTTCTTTATTTTTGAGTGGAGGTGAAATAAAATAAACTAATTGGGCTGAGGCTACTGGTATAGCAGGCATCATGGCTTTTACACATCTCTGTATTTTATTTGAAAATAATTACATATGGCTAAAACTTAAAAGCACAAAGCAATACATGAATTGGTAAAATAGTAACATTGTACTTGTACACCACCATGAGGCTTGAGGTTAAACTATTTATACAAACAGAAGAATTCCAGAGTTGCACACACAGACCCCAAACAAGCTCTGAGTAAGTTTTTTTCTGCATTGAAAACAGATGAGAGATCCTTAATATATTTTATTTAAACTTCAGCATGAAGGCTGGGAGGAGAGTGGATGACTTGAAGCCATGCCAAAGTACTGCAGAGTGTACAAGCTGGCATTTCTAACTGTAAATCATTGAATTTAAAATGCTGAACACTAAAAAGCTGAGGAAAAAAAGAACCTAGTCTGTTCAGAAACTCATGCTCAAAAAGAAATAATAAACACTGCATATAGATTTTATTTTATTTTTTTACATATCAAACACAAACCATTTTCCTCTAAATATGTTTCTAGGCAGAATATTTAGTACATAGGTTATTGAATTTAAAATGACTGGGACAGTGATACTTTAGACTTTTACATGTCTAATACAGATCTGACATTCAAACAGAATCACAGTTTCTTTAGACCTACCAAGAAAATGAAAAATACAAACTGAAAAAAAGCAAATAAATATCTAAACACATTGTCATAAAAAGTAAATGGAACATTCCTTACCTGGATGTTTGGGTAGCTGGGAATAGTTTCCACATACCTGCACATAAAACATTACATAATGAGACATAGTTAGGTAAAACTTGCTAAGAGAAATTAAAATATATCTCAATACTGACCGTATTCAGAACATTACCTGATATTTGTACTGAAATAAAATCAGCAAAGAATAATGACAACAGAGCAGAGATAACAAATTCTCCATGGTCTATGTAAGGTTAAAAGCACAAATGAAATCAAATGCCTATAAGATTTCAATCATAAGTTTTCCTTTGCTACTTTTTGTATTAAAAGAGACATTTTCCATACAGGTTTAAAAAGTTTGTTCTTTCAGTGACGACAAAATATCCTCCCAGACGCTTTAAGTAGTACTTGTTTGCTTCACACTTTGATCTCTTCATTTAACCATAAATAAATCACGGTGATTGAAGGAAAACTAAAAGAAATGTGCATCAAATCCAAAAGTTGTAGTGTTTCATAGAAAGAAGTAAAATATTTCTGTTACAATCTCTTCCAAGGAGAAAAGATCTTGTTTTCAACTTTCTTCCTATGGCTGTCTTTTCCTTCCAATTACTTTCACGTTGTCAGAGGTCTGAAGCCAGTTTTACTTTTGCTAGCAAGAAAATGCACTTCCTTATAGCACGCAGGGTGTATAACTCTTCTTATTTCCTCAGAAACTCAGCTGAAAAGAGTTGCTGCCTCCTTGCTTGTCCAGCTCACATTTGCACCTCCATCCCAGATCTTTTTGGGTGGAGAGCAAGTCTGAATGATGTCATGCTTTCTTCTCAAACTTTGTCCCATTCTGGTACTCTATTTATATCACGCTGCTGCTGCCTTTTTTCTGGGTCCTAACACCAGCCAGCTACGAACAAGTGGAAACAAGTCAATGTGCTCCAGCAAACAGATAAAAGAGATTACTGCTGTTAGCAATCTGCACACTTGAAGAATCAAAGCCAAAAGAAGCGTTTAAAATTTAAATGTTTAAGAAAAATAAAACAGGCTTTTGATAGAAAATTAAGGAAAGCTAAGACCTATTTCTTTAATTAACAGTTTGTCTTTCTGTCTAAAGAAGCGTCACCTTAAAAAAAATATTGATTGAAAACACATAGCAGTGTGAGGGATTCATTTTACTATGTCTCTATCAAGGGGAAACTGAGGCATTAGCCATTTCACTGTGTTGCAGTAAGTTCCACAGCAAACCAAGTAAAAGAGCTAGAAAAATCCTTCTATAGTTGCCACTTCTTTTTCACTCTTTTTTAAAATAAAAAATTACATTTAAATATTTTTATAAGAGCCTCCCAATTACACTGAACTATGTCACAAATATCATTTTATACATAAAAGAAAAATAGCAGCTGGAACTAGTTGATACTCTTTCATTTAATCTGCCTCTTTATGGTAAAATCTTGCTTTCAGTTCCCTCCAACTTCTTTATTTTCAGTGAAATAAACTGAAAGAGTAATATTTTAAACAAAACTTTATAAGCTTTCCATCCCTATATTCATCTCTCCCCTGCATTTCCATATCGATCCCTCCTTTATCCTCACACAAGCCATTTAAGGGTCATGTAGGCAAGATCGGAAATGACAAATTGAAATCAGACCAAGTTATATCTCAATAAAATGCAAATTATTTTACTTACCTTTTCTTTTGCCAAAAGTTATGTCAACAGATTAGTTCTTATTTTCGGCCCAAGATACTTAGGGAAATATTCCTGCTTAAAACCAATGGACACACAAAATATACATGCTAATGTCCCCCTCTGGAACCTATCCTCTGACCTTTAGCTATCCTTCCCTCCCCACCCACCCATTTTATTACTCTTGACCCCATCTCTTCAGGTACCTATATTGGCCTATATTTGCCTGGTTCCTTTTCTCAGCTCTGTTCCTTGCAGTATATTAGCCCTCTTGTCTACTTCTTAATCAGAGATTCTACACCAATCTCTTGGCTACAACTGATTTTAAGTTTTAGGATGAAATGGTTTTCCAGTGGCATTTTATATAGAGATTATATAGCTGGAAGCCCAGTGAGTGGCAGCTGTGGCCCTGATTTTACCCAGCTGGCTCCCCAGACATATACTGAACTTCTAAAGCTTCTGGTGGTAACTAGCTCCTTGCAGATGACTGGCAAGTAGATGGGACTCCAGGGTCCAAGGACTGAAGAGACAAAATTAGTTTTGGAAACCTTAAGACATTCATGCTGCATGAATGCTTCAATGTTACCAAAATTTAGTATCACAAAATCCCAGTATTGCAACAAAATGCATGTTTTGTTTGTAACCCTGGGTTAGGACTTAGAACAAAATAATTTTGAAAATTTTGAATTTCAGTTCATAAAAAACTTAACTTTCTACTTAGTTATAACTAGTTTAACTTTTGCTTATTTCCCTCATTACTGTCAGCTACAAATTCTATAACCTGAAGGAAGAGGAGGAATTCTGTGTAAACCCTAGGAATTCTGCATCATGCACTGACAAGTAGAACCTTAGAAATATTAAAGCACTACAGTTAGAAATCCTGAGAAGGGCCAAAATGTAAAAGGAGAAATACAGGAATTTGAAATATTTGCCAAGAGGGGCCTGTCAAGGGAAAGAATATGCTTACCAAAACAATTGTGAGAATCCAAGCAAACATGTTCACTGCCAAAAATTTTTGTGGAAATAGCAAATTGCAAGCAGACATTAGAGATTATTTGCAGAAACAAATTCTGAATTTATTCCTGTGATCCTCTGGAAACCTAGTTTGAAAATTCACCCTGTTCCCACCACAGACCAGAGGCAGCAGCAGGCGTCTCGTGTGCAAACCAGAGTAACTCATCCAACACTCACAATCACAGAGGATTGCCCTAGAAGAACCTGCAGATTAAATAATGCCATTTAAAATACTTGCATGTCAATAAAAGCACAAAGGTCTGCATCTGCTGGGTAACTGGGCAGCCCGTGCTAAGCCTGCTGGAGTGGTTTCTCCCCACTGCAGCTCTCCCACGCTATTAAGGGAGTGAGGACGGAGAAAACTGAAATCCCTGTGTTACAGTACTGGAAGGAGTTCATGAAAGGCCTCTAGATTTTCTGTCCCACTTGAGCAAAGAGAAGCAAAAAGGCCAGGGAGGAGCAGCTCAGGAAAATACAAATCTCACTCAAAGACAGAAGACTGCTGCTTAAAAAAAAAAAAAAGCAACAATGGATTATTTTAAATAGTATCATAACCGTGTTAATCTGCATTGATGTATTGGATGAGGATGAAGCAGAAAAGACTGAGACCTCCATTCTTGATGTTTCCAGCACACAAATTCTCTTTTCCTTATGGGATGAGGTGCACATGCAACTGTGGTAACTTACGGTTGCACTTTTCTTGCATGTTGGAAGCATTATGTGGCATCTTTACTCAGGCATTAAAAACTACACAACACTTTTAGTTGTTATCACTCACATAATGCACACCATGTACAGATTATCAGTGAAAAGCTAGTATATGATGAGTTACATGTAAACTGAAAAGATGCACAGCCTCCTGTGCTTTCTTAACTCAAGGCTCTGCAATCCTAAGCAAAACCAAAATAAACAGAGGATTTTTTCCTTATTTTGAAAACTATTAAGTGTTTATTTTTGTGCATGTCATCATCTCATGTTACTGTTCTAAACTCTCCATAGACAGCATTTGCTCCAGTCCCTGTAACATCAAGCAGTAAACATCCACTGAGCTGTGGATCATAGAATCATTTAGGTTGGAAAAGACCTTTAAGATCCTCAAGTCCAAACATTAACCCTACTCTACTAAGTCCAGCACTAAGCCATATTCCCAAGTGCCATAATACTACAAGTGCCTACAGATGTCTAGAGGTGAACAACAGTTTGAAGTACACTGTTCTCATTTCTTAGAGCATTTAAAACAAACATTTAAATGTTTGGTCCTTTTTCTTTTAGCACTTTCCCAACTAAAGATCTGCCAAATTTAACAGGGCTTTTTTGTTTATTTGTAATTTTTCCCTAGGACTGCACAAAAAATTGGCCTCTAGCTGCTTTTATGCTGAAACTTGAAAGTGAGTCAATCATGTGTGAAGTTGCATTTTTATTGGAAAAAAAGGGTTGTAGAGTTGTTATTAAACGTATATTTTCATAACAACAAAAGTTTGGTTGTAGCCCTTAGTATCAGCAACAAAAATATTGTGGGTGCCACAGGCCAGCAAACATGATATCCAAGGAGCCAAAGCTTCATACAGCTTTTTCTATCGCTCTTTGTGTAATAATAAATTGAGATAAAAACTCATACTTAATTTTGCATTTAGAATATAAGATGAATATTGTTCCATATAAACCTTTTTTAAGTCATCTATTAGCAAGGTGTTGGGTTGTTGGTTTTGTTTTGTTTTTTTAAATCAGAAACTAATAGGCCTGAAGTTCCCTGAAAAGAGCCATCATCTCTAAGGTTCATATACTGCCTAGACCAGTAATAGTCTCTTCAAAGTCTCAGTCTTATGTGCAAGAAGTGTCAAAGTAACAAACACCAATCTTTGTGTGTTCTGTATTTACACAAATAACTCACCATATAAATGCAGACTAAGAAATAGGTGCTTAAGCAGGCCATTCTTGAGAAAAAAAATCTGGTGTGCTAACAAAATTACTCAGAAATTAGACCATACTCAAAATATTGCATGAAATTTTCTTTGAGCTGATTATACTGAAAAGAACAAACAGAACAGTTCAGATTAAAGAAAAAGCAAACAAACAAAAACCCTGGAGCTAATTCAATAAGGCAAACGCTATCATGGAAAAACATTTTTCCAATTAAGAAAATGAGAAGTTGCTGATCAATGCCAGAAAACAAAATACAGCTTTTTGGCAACAAAATTAAGGCCTAATCAGAGGAAAATACTTTTATCCTATATGTGTAATGTTAAGCTGATTTAACTTCTATATTCTTTGTGAAAAGATTAAGAGCTTCATGATACAAAGATGCAGTAAGCAGGTTTTGAATAACATCATACAATAAATCAATCATTTAACTTTTATTTGGATGAGGTCTCACTAATAGTTATTGAATTATGTTTTAATTGTCTATTTCCTGCATCACCCTGCTCATTAGACTTTTTTTATTGGGGTTGTGCCATGGACATTTTACTACATACACTGAAGAAAACATTTGCTTTTCTGAAAAATAAATTAGGGTTTTGCACAGATCTCAAAGATTCAAATTAAGCAAATCT